ATATGGTAGCTCTATTTTCAACTTTTTGAGGAACCTCCATACTGTTTTCCAGAGTGGCTGCACCAGCTTGCATTCCCACCAACAGTGTAGGAGGGTTCCTAAAGGGTTCTTCTTTAGCTCAGTTGAATACCAGTCAATTCAAACTCCTTGGGGGGAAATTGTGGGTTTAAATAGCACTAAATAATTTTCTATCTAAACAATATCTACTAAATAATTATCCAGTCAGGATTAATTGGCTCCCCACTCTCTCTACATTATTTAAAAAGAAAAAAGTCTTTAGCATGCATCTTAAAAAGTTCTCTTTCTTTGATCTATTTTTTCCTCTCAGATTACAAGGCTTTTGAAGAGGCAGCTGAACACTTCCAACCTTACATCAAATTTTTTGCTACCTTCGACAAAGGGGTAGGTATCTATGAAACCCCAATTTGAATACTTTTGTAGGCACAAAAGGTTAAAATTTGAACTTTCCAGTACTTTTTTAAATTTTAGAAACATTTTCCATCTTCCATCCCTTAACATTTTCTCCAGAAGTGTTAGAAATACAGCAATAAGTCACTTTTGAATGGGAGATGAATACAAAGATGATTAATTCAGAGGAAGTAAGCACATTTCTGAAAACAGCCAATGAAAAGTGATGAACCACTTTTAACCACCTTGAACACTAAGAATGGGCATGTATGAGAAGAGTGTGCCAGGACACTGGTCAGTGCTTTCTTGTCTTTAGAGCTATTCGCTCCCTTCCCAGGGGTGCGTACTTCCCCCTCTGTTGGGTTAGGATGGGGGGTGGAATGGGGAGGACCATTGGTCATCTGATGCCTGGAGTGCATCCGTAAGTTACCTATTATCTTCAAGAGATGTCATTAATGTACTCATCCGCAATTCAATTTTTCTTTCTTTCTGGATGTGGCACCTGCTTTTGTAAGCCGAAGAACATCATATATGAAGGACCTTGAATCAATGGGTAATTTATTTGGGGTTCACTGTGGGTGGAGTACTCCACTCTAATTCCAGTTACCACTAAAATGGCTACTATTTATCGAGTGCTTTCTGTGTGTTTGGTACAAATTGATACATTGTATGTATATGACCTCTAATCCTTTATTTTTTTTTAAATTTTTTTGTTTGTTTTATTTATTTATTCATGAGAGTCAGAGAGAGAGATAGAGAGAGGCAGCGGCAGAGGGAGAAGCAGGCTCCCCGCCTAGCAGGGAGCCCGATGTGGGACTCGATCCCAGGACCCTGGGATCATGACCTGAGCCAAAGGCAGACGCTTAACCATCTGAGCCACCCAGGCGCCCCTGACCTCTAATCCTTTAAACAAATTTGGGAGCCAAGAAGTCACATGTCCCATATGACAAAATAGATTTATAAAGATTAAGTAATATCCAAGGTTTCCAGTGAATTAATGGTAGTGCTGAGATCCCAGTCTATGCCCCACATGTATGCCCCTTCCTTGGTACCACACACTTAAGTAGAAGACTCTGTACTTGCCCTTGAGATATTCACTTTGCAGCCATCTAAGACCAGGAGAATGGAGGTTGGGTGAGAACTTTAGTAGAGAAGGGGAGGTACAGGGAAGCCCAAGCTGAATATATCACTGACGTTCCATTATGACAGGCCATACATCCCCATACACCCACATTCACATAGGAGACACAAATAACACACACAAAAAGCATACACAACACACATACAACACACACAACACACAACACACAACACAGAAAATGACAAACATAAGCACATAACAAACAGGACACGCACATAACACACATCTCCTCACACACCCTCACACTCAAACCCACACCCACACTTATATAACACTCAGTACACACTCATTCACACTTATATCCACACCTGCACACATAAGAGTCTCTCTCTCTAGCTCACACACACACACACACACACCAACTAAAAACCTTCAATCACCATATTTACTAGAACAAATAAGTCTAGGAAAAACTAAATCCTGATTACATTCAAGTAAAAGTTCATCAAGGAGTGACCTACTGAGGAGTAAGGCAGTTGGAGAGCAGGGCTCATGGGCCTTTTTACCATGGGGAGTTCAAGTATTCTGTGAAAAACAAAAGGAAGCCTGTAGGTGCTGGAGCAGGGAAGGAGTACAACAAAAAGAGATCATATTCCATCCTTGTATATATGTACATTGAACCACCTCTATGGATATGGCCCTGGTCTAAAAACTCTGGATTGAAAATAATCCAGAAGAGAGTCTATAATCTGAGTAATAGAATCTAAACTTGAAGAAAATTTACCTTAGTTGGTTGGATTAGAGTCAAGAGAGATCTTGAGCAAGAATACCAAAAGCAATAATAACTATCACTTATTAAGTACTTTTTACGTGCTATGCTTTGTGCTGAGAGCTTTACATAGCTCTTTCAATCATCTCAATGTGCCTGTAAAGGAGGAATTGGTATTCTTAATCTACAGAGAATGAAACCAAGGCACCAAGAGATTAAGTGATTTACCCATGGTCATATAGTGAGTGAGTAGTGAAGCTTAATATATAATCCCAGGTCAGTGCTCTATGCTACCGTACACCAGAGAAAGAAACAATACACGTGAAGCTCTTCGTTGGAGTCTGGGATATGGTGAGCATTCAGTAAATGTTAGCTAGTCCTGTTGCTCATAAAAGGCAGCCATCTAAGCCCAGGAGAATGGAGGTTGGGTGAGAACTTTAGTAGAGAAGGGGAGGTACAGGGAAGCCCAAGCTGAATACATCACTGATGTTCCATTATGACAGACCAGCAGTGACTGAGGTGGCTCCTGGGTGTTAAGAACTCATCTGAGAGAACACAACCAGGCAGACAGGCTTGGCCAAGCAACAACGCCTCAGTTCTTCGAAGGTGGCCCAATGCTGAGTTCAGGGTGGTATCTGTTTTCAGACGTGCCTTCCAGCCCGACCATATGTCTTCGTGTCTGTGGCCCATGAAGAAGGTGAGGTCAGGCTATAATTAAAAACTCAGAAGCCTCTTCACTCCAAACTCTGTAAGACACTGAGTCATAAGTGTCCCTGTTCATGTAGCCTTGTGGGATTTTACAACAGTTAAAAGGAGAAAGACACACTCTCTAGCTCTACATGGAACACAGAAAGAAGAGCAGTCACACTTAGAGGACTCAGTGCCATTTGGGACTTGAAAAGTTGGACTGGTCAGTTGTGGGGGAGCCAGAGTCCAAGGAAACCTCAGTGGTGTCCAGCAGGGGGCACTGGTGCAGAAGAGGGAGTTGGAAGAATTTTTTGTTGAGATTTAGGGAAGCCCAGAGGGACAAGGGGTAGGGGAGGTGCTTTGTAGAGGTGTGGAGTCAGGAGAGGCCAGGGCCAGGGAGGCACTAATACAGTCCCAAAGATGAAAACTCAACTGGCAGACATGGAGATGACAAGAGGATTTGGTCACTATTGAGGTGAAGGAGAGAAAGCCAAGAGAAGACTCAAAAATAACAAGATTGTAAGTCTCCTCTTCAAGACAGCAAAGATTGTGAAGCTCCTGAAAACATTAGGGAATCTAGGAAAAGAATCTACTGAGGAACAAAAGATGGGGTTTATGAGTTCTCTTTCTACAAGTAGGGAAGACATACAACAGAAGTATCTTTCATTTATTTATTCATTTGCTCATTCAGAGAATATTTATTGAGTGCCTTTTATGTGCCAGAAGCTCTTTTAGATGCCAGAGATGCAACATGGAGCAAAACAGATTCCTGCCCCTGTGGGATTTAGAGTTTAGTGCAGTGGGGGAGGGGGCAAGGAGAAGATGGGAAGACAGAAAGTAAGTAAAGAAACCAATAAATATGTTATATTTGATATATTATATGAGTTAGAGAACCATAAAGACACTGAGATGTCAGGGCTGCTGAACCATTGTCCATAGTGGTCTCCCCCAAAGAGCTTTTAAAATCATGGATTCCTGGGCCCCACATCTAAGATGAAATTTGTATTTCTTTATGTTGTGACCAGACCCAGAAACACGCATTTCCAGAGAAGTCCCTGGGGAGTTTTACCTGACCCATAGGTTTGGGACCAGCACTGATCTATGCATCCTAATCCTAAACCAAGCCACAACATCTCTGAATCAAATGGAGCCAGAGAGTCAGAGGGCTAAGGATGGCACATTTACTGGCCAAGATACAACAAAGAAAAATGAAGAAAGGGCTTTTCTCGGATATAGGCCAAGGGCACTCTGTGCTGGTGGTGGGGATATAGTGAATAGGTCTCTGGAAATTTTTGGAGGGGTTTCCCAGGACTTAAACTTAAGAATATCACAATCCAACTTTACATTTGTGGTCTTAACATTGTAGGCCCAGACACTGGCATTCAAGGACCACACACACGCATACACACACTTCGGAAGTTGAGAATGAAAAGAGATCGCTATTCAAGGTGATAGTTTAGAACACTCCACTGACTTTCAATTCAGACTCTATCCCCTCCACATATGAGATCTTGACAAACCGCATACACACACTGGGCCTTTGGTTCATTATCTGTAAAATAAGTAATAATAATGGTTCTTACAGCAAGCCAAGTGAGGATGCATAGAGTAATCAATTGCACTGGAGCCCGTCGCAGAGTGAGCACTCCGTGCACTTACTACTATTACTGGTTTCCTTCATCTGGTCACTCCCCACTTCCTTTAAGCACAGTTTTCTGGTTCCTAAAATATGTAGTCAGTGAAGTCAGAAACCCAGAATCCAGTGTCATTTTAAGCTCATTCTCTGATGGGCCCGGCTTTGTGAAGAACAGCGTAAAAACCCAGACACTGGTTGTGTGGTGGCTGGTTCCTTCCCAGGCTCCCCACCCCCACCCTGTCAAAGAGGGGGGAAAGTAAGAAAAGACCCCACAGTTCCCTGTCCCTCAAAACCAAATCAACATGACCATAAATCTCTTCTGACTGACTGTAGCTCTAAACATGGCCTGTTTTCTTTAGCTCTGGATAGAATGCTGGAGTTTCTTTCCCTGAAGTCCTGTAAGAAATGTCTTTTGGAATATAGTGACCTGGAATTAATAGCAACTGATGACAAAAGCCATAGGGACACCAGTGTTTGCTCAGAATGGCCTTCCTTGTGTAACAGCTTATGTAATACCCCGTTCCTCCCCCTCCCCAATTAGTCACGGCTGCCCTGGGCCTCCGCACCGCACCGTTGGTTACCACCGCAGGGCGTCAGCTCTTAGGCAATTCTTTAGTTTCAAGGGAACCACTGTTCATCCCTGTGCTTTCTTGGACCACAGCTCAAAAACGAAAAGAATGGCATTTGGTTTTCTACAAAGCGTTGCACATTCCAAGCCTCTCAAATCATTTCACAAAAAGAGACTTGAGCTCAGCAGCCCAGCAGGCAAACACAGCACCCATTCTGCCCCAACAGCAAACTATGTGGCCACTTTAATCAAGAGAGCAGACATCTTCCAGGCTGCAGGCTGGCTTCCTGAGCTTTTTATCTGGTAGAGGGTGAGCCACTCATCCTGGCTTGCTGGGGACTATCCTATTCTAGCACTAAGAGTCTGAACCCTGGGAAACCCCTCCGCTCTGGACAAAGCAGGATGTTGGTCACCTTCTGGCTGGTCACAAAGCAGACAGTTCCCAGAGTCTGAGAAACCATCAGACAAGCCAGTACTGAGAGATAACCCTGCTTCAACCTAAATCACAAGTAGGGGTTAGGAGCTGATTGAGGACAGATTAATGGGTTGACCTCTGATTTTGAGTACTGGTATGCTGTAAATGGTTTCTGTCAATTGCCGGTGCTATCAAAATTGGTTCATGCATCTCAGAACACTGAGCTTGCTCTGTTGACATTTGCTTCTTTCTCCAGCCCTGGCACATATAGTGGAGTGATGATGATTGTACAATTAGATTTCACCCTTTTCATTCCTACTGCTCTCCGCTCCTGCTTGGACCTCAGTTGCCAGAGAGGGTTTTTCCTTCCTATCTGTCCTTCTTTGATTGGTCAAGCTAGGGCTTAGGCAATGAGTTTCTACCACTTCAACATTTAAGTTAAAACTGTACATATACTCTCATGTCTTTGCCAGAAAACACACACACTCCTTATAGATGGGCAACCCATTGCTACTCTGGACTAGCATTCAAAGAAACTATTTTCATATTTCTAATTGTTACAGGTTGCAAGGAAATTGTCCTTGAAGATGAATGAGGTTGACTTCTATGAGCCATTTATGGATGAGTCCATTGCCATCCCTGACAAACCTTACACAGAAGAGGAGATCGTGGAGTTTGTGAAAGAGCACCAAAGGTGCCCCAGATGGCATGCAGGGGTTGGTGGGTGGGTGAGGGGGTGCAGTCCAGGGTCTGGGGGATGGAGGAGAACTTCTCAGTCCTAACATTTTTAGGTGTCCCAAGAGCAACAACCTAGAGTTACTACCCTAGCAGAACTGAAATCAGTAGTATGGCTTTGTTGGTCATTGATCAGCTGGGCAGGGATATTGCTACTTTTTCTGAATATGGGTTTACACTTGCAAACAAGGTAGACCAACTCCCCACAATCAGCAAATCCCCTCCAAGACAGAGTAAGTTACAGGTCAAATTCTACAATAATAACAACAGGGATTTACTGCCAACCTCTTATATGCCAAATGCCATGCTAAGTGCTTATGGAAGCTATTTTATCTAATATTCAACATTATGGAGTATTATTATTATCCCAATGTTACAGATCAAGGAATTGGGCTCAGAGTAGTTAAATAACTTAGCCATGGATGAACATTTTATACATAGAACTTCTGGGGGAGGAATATTTGATACCACCTAGAGTAGCTCTAGCATGGATTAGCAAACTTTTTCCATAAAGGGCCAGAGAACAAATATTTCAGGTTCTGTGGGCCAGATGGTTTCTGTTGCAATACTCAACTCTGCTGTTGTAGTGTGAAAGCAGCTGTAGACAGTATGTAAACAAATGGGTGTGACTGTATCTCAATAAAAACTTATTTATAAACACAAGAGGCACTGGCTGGATTTGGCCCACCAGCTATGGTTGGCTGACCCCTGCTCTTGACAGAGGGACGATATTGAAGCATGGAACGTGGTAGTGGGTTTACCACCTCGCCACGCCATCCACCCTCTCCAACACATGCTCCCATATGTCCACTGAACCTGGAGCACTATGATTCCATCACCTGGTTGTCCCGGTTCCCATAGGGAGGCAGCATTTGGAGAAGCAAATTTCAATGTGTCTAACACAATTTGCCAACATTCAGAAAGAAATAAAACCATGAGAAAATATAATTTTACCTGTTCCTCCAAACATCCCTAAAGAGCTTTTGAATGATGATCCTGATGATAAGACAATGCAGTCGTGGGCTGGGAAAACCATGATTTCTGTTTCCTCTCCCAGGTGTCCTCGGTCTGGGCCTTGCTCTGGGCTCTCAGGAGTGACCCCTGTCTATGAGGAAGGAAATGGCTTCTTGCCCTAGGAATGAGCTGACCCTGCACCCTCTGACCCATTGTTTGTAATGGACTTTATTTATTTATTTATTTATTTATTTATTTATTTATTTAGCTCCACACGTAACGTGGAGCCCAACACAGGGCTTGAACTCATGACTGTGAGATCAAGACCTGAGCTGAGATCAAGAGTTGGATGCCTAATTGACTGAGTTACCCAGGAGCCCCTCTAATAGGCTTTATATAATCCTTGGATCAAATGGGTCTGTGAAAAGGTTGGGAGCTTCAAGCCCAGCTCCCTGTAGGATGCAACAGAGTAGAACAGTTCCATCTCCTTAGGGAAGATTTCGAGAGCTCTTCATGCCCTTGCAAATGAACCAGCATCTCATTTTACATTTCACTATGCTGAGGCTGCGGTGTCTGCCTTGGTAATCCCTACTCAAGGAAGCTCATCTTTGTTTTTTTCAGACCCACCCTACGTCGCCTGCGTCCCGAAGATATGTTTGAAACATGGGTAAGAAATGGCAAATTCTTTCTGCCTTGTAGACACCAGTATATTGCCCAAGAGGAGTATCCCTTTGAGTCCGCAAACTTAAACCACATTTTATTTTGCTGGAGTGGATGTCTAGATGGTGGAGTATTTGAAACGTGGACAACGTCATGCTCAACTAAAGCCCAGTTCTCCGTGGATTTAATTTAAGCCTCTTTGGTACTATCCATAAGGCAAAATTACTCCATCTTTGAGTTCATTCCCCACAGTGACTACTGGCTTCTGTTCACTGACTACCAGAGACCCAGGGTAACATAATGGAAGGAGCTGAGGCTGTGGAGTCATAGAGACTTGGGTTCACATCCAGAATCTACTACCTGGTAGCTCTGCATCCTGTTATCAAGTCATGTCATCTTTCTGAGCTTTAGTTTCTGCTTCTCAAATCAGGGCTTTTTCTAAGGTTGAGTGGTTGCGAAGAGCCCAGAACCTGGTAGGTATTTGGTCAATCAATGGTAGCTATTTTCATAAATAGCAACTCAAGGCAGTGGAAGGCGCTGAGTCAGATTATCCCCTAGGCCTTTGCCATAGACAATGTGTCAGGCAGGTCAAATAGCATAGAAGGAGGGCCATGGAGATACAACCTCCCATCCCATGTCAGGTTTATACAAAATTCCATAACCAATAACAACCAAAGTCTGTGGAGCATTTTTCAAAGCATTTCATGTATCCTTTTAACCTGGATGTTTCAAGAGTTCTAAAAAGTGATGTAGAACAAGTATTATTTAACCTCATTTTACATGGGGAAACTGGTGATCATACAGATTAAGTTAGTCACTCAGGGATACATAACTAATAAGCATTAGCTCTTGGGACTTAAATTTAGATCATTTGGAGCCAAATCTCATATTCTCTTCAGTATAGTTCCCCAGAGTAAGCCATATCCCCATAAGGCGCCATTTTGTCAAGGGCCAGGAGAGGGAAGAAAGGAATTAACATGGAAGCATTTATTTATTTATTCTTTGATTCAGAGTCTAAAATGACAGCTGAACAGAAGCATGAAATAACTTAACACTTGATGTCTTACTGGCTGGTAACTTATTTGTATGTCTGAAGGCAGAACAAGCCTTTCATAAGACACTGAAGAGCAAGTAATCCAGTCTGGAGGACTGGACTATTGAAGAACAACCCAGTACAATGGCAACATATTTTCCTAACATTGAAACCTTTCAAAAATTTAATCTTTACAAGGTCTTGTTACTATATTTAAAAAGAGTGTAGCAGTGCTTTAAAAATAATATTCTTTTAAAAAATATCTTTACTTTTACTTAAAATCATTTCAGACTTACAAAAAATAATGTAAAGAATTCCATGATCTCTTTACCAGATTCCCCAAATGTTAACATTTTACCTTCTTTGCTTGATCACATACCTCTTGACAGATGATGGATATAAACAGGTTTTTCCCCTGAATTATTTGAGAGTAAGTAGCAGACATAACTCCCCTTACCCCTATATACTTCAGATGTTTTCTAAAAACAGGGAATGTCTCTCATAACCACAGTATACTTATCAAAATCAGGAAGTTAGTATAACTTGATTTCATCTACGGACCTTACTAAAATTAACCAGCGTCCCACTAATGTCCTTTATAGAACACACACAAAAGTTTTTTTCCTGGCCCAGGATCTGATCTTGGATCTCATACTTGTTGTTTGTTGTTATGCTTCTTTAGTCTTTAATCTGGGATAAGTTCTTGGTCTTTGTCTTTCATGACACAGGGTACCATTTTAAATTGAGGGTGATTGTCACTGTTCTGTTCTGCTATGTCTCTGTTCTTAGTTCTTTTTATTTTCTTCATCCCTAAGAGAGGCCCTTCCTTCAGGCCTTTTCTTATTGACACAGCAATATCGCATCCGAGACACAATATGCCATGGTGGGAGAGCCTGTGTCCTGCCCCCTCCCCCTGACCACAAACACCCCTAGCCCCCCACACTGCCCAGTAGAAATGCTCCCTCTCATATATCACAGGCAGATGTTCAGAAAGAAAGTTCATTCTCTGGATGCACTGGAACTCATTCTCTGCTTTCTTTTCACTTAAGGAAAAAAAGAAGTTACAGCCTTTTGCTATAATATAACAATGATGGCTCATACTTTCCATGTTAGTATATATTCAGTGGTTTTCTAATCAGGAAAGGGCTGTGTATTAAATTTAACCTGGTAGAGAAAAGGGCAACTAGACTGGTTTAATTCTTTCCTGCACACCATCCTGGAATACCCATGTGACTTCCCCAGAAGCTGTAACCAGACCTAACCAGTCCCAAGTCTCCAACGAGGGAGGGAAGGCAGGAACATCTTCCCAGCCTTAAAAAGAAGAAGCAGAAATCAATCTGTCAGAGGGATCTCTGGGGAGCCACTTCCCATGTGCCTTCCTCATCTACCTTTGCCACCTAGGAAAGCATTGCTCCAAAGAGCAGCATCTCCATGGACCACTTGGCCGCAACAAATTAAACCACAGAAGCTGGGGAACGTGACCAGTTATGAACTGGGAAGTCTTTATCTTCAACACCCACTTCCCCAGACATTGCAAAATATTTAGATAGGAAAACTAAGTCGAGCTAAAGCAATTATTGACTTTTTTCTTTCCCCAGTTGTGTGGGTTTTTAAAGCAGCAAACCATAAAAAAACACATACTTGATTATTACTAAAGAAATTGGTGGTTAGCAATACTTGCTGTGTGTAAACTGAATAGCTACTTGCTCATTTAGAATATTCAAAGAATGTCAAGGTGGGGCAAGGTGATATGAACTGAGTGCTGACCTGCCCTTCCCCTTCGATATACCACCTTCTAACCAGCTCTCCATCCTGGCAAGTGGTCAGAGTCCTGGGCAAAAGCCCATGGGGATGGGAATCAGCAGTTCCTTCGGAAATAACCCTCTCTCTGTGGCAATAACAAAACAGTACTTCCAAAAGGGGGCCAGAAACCTCCAGATAAGCCCCTGGAACATTCCATTGCACCAGGGAGTCTGCAGTTTTAAGTGCATGTTTTTTTTCTTTGCATCACTTCATTCAAGAGAACAAACATTCAACAGAACCTGGGAAGAAACAGAGCAAAACAGGAACAGTGGTAATATATCTGGTTGGTGGGTAACTGATGTGTGGTTTCTTTTTGGCATCTCTAATATTTTCTATTTTCTTCAACTAGTGTGTAAGATTTTTATCACCATATTCTTTCTTTTAAAGTCAGTGTGCATTAATAAGAACCTATTACTTTGTGCTAAGCATGGGGTTATAAAAATGAACATTGTTGTTGTGTCCTGAGGAGTTCAGGGTTGAGAAAATGAAACAGTCTCAAAACATATAACGCCACCCCAGTATGCTCATGCTATGACAGATGGACATACAAAGTGAAAGAGAATTCAGAGTAGGGTATTCGCCAAAGTAATTCCTAAGTCTCCAGTTTTTTGGGGGATCTGGGGCTCAGTCACTTTACATAAAGACCCCTCATTGGCCTCCTTTAACTTAAGAGTCACTAATCTGAGTTTGAAACATCTGCAAACCCTGCAGGGGACAACAGATTCATTCTGTTGCTATTGGTGATATCAAGGAGGAAAATTGTTTTTTCTACCCTCTTAGGTTCAGTATTGAAGGGCTGCAAATTAAACTGACAAAATACAGATTAGCACGGGCAAAGAACAAATTTAATGACCTATTTATGCAAGGGAGTTTACAAGGAAATGTGACTCAAGAAGGGGTTTATATACCATCTTAATTGGAAATGGGAGAGGCAGGAGTCACTTCTGGGAGAACAAATGACTTGTTAGAAGGTTGGGGAGAAAGGGATCTTATGGAAAAACAAATGACTTCTTTGGAAAGAGAAATGGGCCCTTGGGGAATAGATGGGAGATTTGCTAGTGCTGTGAAAACGTCTGTCTGAGAAGAGAAATTAGAGCTGCTCTTGGGGATGGGTTTATGACAATTGAGTTCTTTTGGGATTCTCTGTTTGGTAGATAGGGTAGTAAGGCATTCAGGAATTCAGATGCTTTCAGCTCAAAATAATTTTTATGCCACAGTGGCTTATTCTGGACCCCTTCAGTGAGAAAGAAAAAGCACGTGGGGCCAGACAGAATGGGCTTGAATCCCAGTTGTGTCACTTACTAGTTTTCTGGCGTTAGGTAAGTCACTTCAATTCTTTAAGCACTAAATAGGAATAAGACTTTCATTTGAGATTTAGCAGTAATGTACTTACAAAGTACTGATACAAAGAACGGCAGGGGGCAGATACTATTGTGGCCTTTGGAATCATCGTTGTTATTTATTTATTT